AGTCTACTAGTCTCTGACATTCCAAAATCATTGAATGTGTCATTAGTTGTATTTATATAATGTTGTTATAAATGTTAAAAAAATTAATTATAGTACGGAACTGAACTGAACTGAACGGAATCGAACCCGAACGGTTTCATAATTATATTTGGATTCAACGGTTCCATTTACTATATACCCGAAAATTTTAGTTTGGTTCGGTTCTCTTTAGAACCGAACGGACCCGCGCCCACCTCTAAATTCCATATTTTAGGAATCGAATTCTCACACTGTTGCTGCCAACAAGGTTGAAATTACTCCACTTCTCTTCTTTGCACCACTGAATTATGCCCTGGGGACTATATAAACAGTATATTGTAGGAATGGGAGGGAGAGAGAGAAAGTGACGTATTCTTCAATTAAATTAAATTATAAGTAAATCAAAGATTTTTTATTTTTTTAATCACATATTCTTCCAAAATTATTATTTCAAAATACATTATACCTAAATTTCTCATTATAATAATTGTCAAACAGGGGCATGTTTGATTTAGATAAAAACTAGATTTAGGATATCTTTAAAATGGTGTTTACTTTTGTTTTTACTTTTTGTAAAAGAGTTTTAGAAGTAAGTTATTTTAATTTTTGTTTAAAAATTAATTTTAAAAGAATTTCTTAAAACAGTATATATGTATATATTTATTATACGTGTTAGAAATCAACTTTAAATTCTTTATAAATATCTATTTATAGAATTATAATCTGGCGCAATCTTCTCTGGAATTTGCTTTTTCTTTAATATTCTAGTCAAAGAATTATCCTTCAGTTGAAAATGTGATGGTGAATTAAGGTTGTCATCTGTCGAAGTTATTAGGTGAATCCAAATGGGATTTTGCTTGTTTGAATTTCACCGTAAGTTATTGATTCTCATTATTAAAATTTGAGATTCTGAGTCTGTTAGGTGGTAATTATGAGAATTGATTTTTGGGCCGTTAATGAGAAAAGCGAATCCCACCCATTAGTGAAGAAGTAAAAAATGACTAATGAAATAATGGTAAAAAAATTAATTTTTTGTGGTGAAAATTTGCTACCAAGCAAGGGCTCTATCTTAAAAGGTCATTTTTTAGAAGAGTAATTAAAACACTTAAAAAGTTGATTTATGTTTTCATCTTTATTGAACGTGGAATCTTATTCCTTAACATTTCCTTGTAAGATGGGGTGCCTGTTTTTAGCAAATTAATTTTGAAATTTATGTGCTCATTTTTTGAGTCTTATTCAGATCAAATTGCTGGTTGGACGTTAATGAGTTCTGATACTGTATTAATATATGAGGTTCTATATTAAAAGATCAATTTTTTTAACCCAAATTCTTATTAATTGGTCTGCATTTTTATTTTTATGCGATGTAGGATCTTATCCTTTAACACTTAGAAAATGCCTGATATACAAGCCCCTCACATGTTTGGT